ATATTTATCTCAGATTTTGCTATAATTATAGTTAAATAATTCTTGATTTTGATTGGCTAGTATTCTAGATTGTGTAACCTAAGATTTCAGCTGACCCCCCACCCTCTAAAATATTAGGTAATATCTGTCATTGCCCTTAAATAAAACTGTAATTATTTATCTAATTGTTTATACATACATGCTTCTTTAAATTTTAGTCTTCGCAAACTTTACAACCATGTTGATAAGTTACTCCTCTTTCTAAATGGTCAAGGTGTTTTCGTATATCATCATCAGGTATGAAACCAGAGTCATGGATAGTGTATATTAACTCTTCACTTGAACCTTCTAATTTCCTTCCAAGACCTGCAACAAAATTACCTGTGTTTTGTAACATAACTTAAGCCATTTCTCAACAGATGCACAAATTTTTTTTGAACCACCCTTAGCTATTCATTTTTCAGCTCACTCACCAGCAATCTTGTCAATGACCTTATCTGTAGTTTTTACTGCAGAGTTAGGAGGTTTTCCCATTTCTTTATTTCTAATTTCTCTAATTACCACATTAATTACTCCGCCAGTAAACATAACGCGGCCACAATCAGCAGAAAATTTAAAAATTTTCTTAATATCTTCATCATCACAAAGTTCTTGGATTCCTTTACTTACTCCCCAAATAGTAGCACCAACAGGAATGGCAGCAGAACCTAAAACGGCATCCGCAGCAGTGTTTAAAGCTATTTTTCCAATGAAACTCGAAAACCCCATTTTAAAATAGATCCGAGAAATAATGACACTCTTGAGATTAACTGCACTGGATTAAAGAGACAGAAAATTAACCTGTTGTCTTACATGAGATATACGAGAAATTAAATTTATAAATGATTTTTATTTCATGATCAAGTTTAGAATTTATTGGTATTCCGCGTGGATAGTTTAATATATCAGCCGCATCGAGGTTTGTAAATCTAACAGTTTAATATATTAAGCGAGAAATTAGAAATAAAGAAATGGGAAAACCTCCTAACTCTGC